TTTGTTGTGCTTTCATATGTTTTATTCCTGGTGTGTTTACGTGAACGAAACCGTAAAGAATATTTTTCATTTCAAGTAACCGTCAATGCGCCCGATATTTGTTCGTGTTGCTCGTAAAGGCTGTTCAAAAACAACGCTATATAGGAAAGTACGACAGTCGGTTGCGGCAAGTGGCTGTTTTCGTTGCCCGACTGATGAATGCGTCCATAATGCCTTTAGTCGACTATCTGAGGGTAAGATTCATGATTGATCAACTGATAGGCTGTAGGTATGCCGAATCTGACCGTTCCAGGTGATAAACTAGGCTGCGATGTACCACGTTGTTCGCCGGCGATCCCCCGATCCCTGTTACCAAGACGTTGGAACCAGAAAGACATTCACCACTGCGGTCCTTAGAGAACCTTTCGGCTCCTGCTTTTTGCCATAAGGTAGCCCACTGCAAGTCGTTGAAGGGATCAGTCCGTATGTTCTTCTTGCACTTATATTGCTTTTCATCAGTATCCTTTTTAAACCATTCACAACCAGGTAGAAATATTTTAACGGCTGTTCGTCGGATGGCGCGAAGGCTGAACCTACCTTTATCCGGTTAAGCTGTTGTGTTGGACGAATTCAGATACCTTTTTCCGTCTCTTCCGAGGGATACACGGACCGTAATGAAAACCCCCCGTCGTTGCTTCGTGCGACAGAAAGCCGGTGGGATGTATATCCACCTCGGGTTGAAAGCAGGTTTGCTGCAATAGCTCCGTGAGATTCAGACTACGGTTACAAATATCGAAATTCAAATGAATGTTGACGGCATTCGGGCCTATAACACCTCGCGTACCCAAGTGTGGCCTATACTCTCCCCGATAACTTCACCCTTTCTCGGTCAGCCTTTCGTCGTTGGAATATACTGTGGTAAGCAAAAACCCACTGATGCTCATCAGCTGATGTCTGACACGGTCGCTGAGTTGACAGACGTCTTGGCGAACGGTGTCTCCGGGGTTTACAATACTCACGCCGTCCGTCTTCAGTGCATATTTGCGAGTCCTGCTAGGGTCTTTCTGAAGCAAGTAAAGGGACATGCAGGATATTATGGCCGTGATTATTGTGCACAAAAGGGTGTGCACATTGGCACACGTATGACTTTTCCCTCGTTGACAGCTCGCTTGCGTCGTGAATATGATTTCCGGACCAGAAAGCAAGAGAAGCACCATACAGGTCCAAGTCCGATGGAGGAGTTAAATTTTCCCATGATTGACGGTTTCCCACCAGATTTCATGCATAATGTGTGTCTTGGTTTAGTGCGGAAATTTCTCGTCTTACTCAGAGCTATGCCAATTGGACACAAGGCCAGGCTTTCTTTGGAGTCCTGAAATCTGCTGAATGCTAACATTGAGCAACAGAGTTTGGCTCTGAGTATTGATTTCCCCGAAAATGTAGAGGTGTCGTAGACCTGGATCGGTGGAAGGCATCTGAGCTACGACAGTTTCTTCTGTACATAGGACCAGTTGTTTTACGAGATATCCTACATCCTGACGCTTACGAATGTTTCATGTATTTTTCGGAAACCACTTTCATAGGCTGTTCACCTTTTTTTCACAACATTATGCTGATTTTTTAACTGATGTCTCCAAGGTTGCTGTGTCAAAATTTGCTGCTATTTTTGGTCCCAGCCATTTAGTGTACAACATACAACTCTTCTCCCATTTATTCAATTTCGTCAAGCTTTATGGTTGCTTGGATCGTTTTTCCTGTTTTCCCTATGAATCGGAGCTGGTCATTTGAAGCATTACATGCATGGGCCAAAACCACCGGCTGTTCAGCTTTACCGCCGACTGTCCGAGCCTGCGGGATTGAATGCTTTCGAAGGGAAGGTATTTTTGGATGATTTTGGCTTGCGACTGAGGCCATCACCCACTGCCGGATGTCACAGGTCTATTCATAGGGATGTTTTTTTGGAAAAACTTTTCCGACAACTGCATTTTGCTTGATGGTCAACCAGCTGTCATTGTAGATTTTTCTGGAGATACTACTGAGTACCAGAAATTCAAAACTGTTCTCCCGTTTTACACTCACGTAAAGATATCGAGGGACGTTTTAGTTTTTCAATGCTCCGACTTGCAACACACTCGGCTGTTTGCACCAGCCTACCAAATATCTTGTAAATGCTTAAGTTTTTCCTGCAGAGACACTTGTATATACTTCCCCATTTTGCATACCCTTATCGATTAGTCAGTAATCTCACCACTGGCACTCGACACATGTATGAATTTATTACTTGTATTACTCATTAGTTCGTAAAATATATATACATATTTATGTTGGTGTTGTGTTATTCCATCAAAGCTTCCGTTTTTATGTGGATATTTTCCAGTTTAATATCGTAGTTGGAAGTTGTTTTTCAGCCATGTACGCTGTTCTCATATTTGCAGACAACTCGGTTGGCATGGTGCATGAATCATGGTACGTACCGCCCGATTCAGTCCTTTGGCCCTCGTGCACAAACAGCACTCTTTATGCCAACTTACTGACGGGTACTTTACCAAAATGTCCACTCAATTTGTGCACGTTCGAAGTGTATCGGCAGTGCAGTAAGTTCATTTTCAGTTAAAATGTTCTAGAAACTTTTCCGGATGCACTGAGTGCTCGGCAGGAAGCCCTTGACTCAGGGCATACCTCCTCTGCGGAGCAAAACGATGAACGGCTGGTACGTCAATTCAGGCGAAAACAGTATGTTTACCAATCGTATTACAATGGTTGCAGTACAAAGAAACGGCTGCTGTCTGATTTTACAGGCGGGTCGGATCGTGATTCCAGTGGTGACACCACTTTGTTTGCGAACATAGTCATAAGCCCACCAACTCCAAAAAGATTGTAGGTCCTCCCGCACCTACCAACGTTTCAATTTGTAAAATCCTCATTTTCAGATGTACCAGTCCGACTGCCACGATTAGTAGCATCATTCCTGTTCAAGACGCGCCACCCGTCCCTCGTGATGCCCCGATGATGCGTGGAACGTACGTTTTATTTCATTCCACGTATACAACCTTTCCCGCCGTGGGCGATCCAGAACCACGCATTTCTGCCCCGATCCCCAGGTTTTCTTAACATTCCATGTACTTTACTTTCTAGAACTAACTCTCCAAATTCAAAGGCAATCGTAATTTCCACGGACATGGCCAACCTCATTCTCAGTGAGTACAGTACCATGTTTTAATTAAGCCATTTTATGGAGAATTTAGAGAGGATCTACTAGTTCTTCCAGACACTGCATATGAAGCTGGACGCTTTAGTACCCACAGGCAGTTCTCAGACACTCGACGAGCCCCTCTTCCGTTGTCATCCGTGGACGATCTCCGAAAGTATGAAGAACATCTAAGAAATGGTTCACGCTATGCACAGCTGGTAAGCATTAATTTTGTTTACGATTATTGATTTCACAAAGGTGGAAGGGTGGCTCTTGCAGGAGGCTGGCGATATACAAGTGTAAGTTACCAACGTGCTTACACGGACGTTGGCCCCAAGGCTGGCCGCACTACTCAACTGGCGCGAAATAAATGCCAAAGAGGCCTTCGGGTTAACCAGGCTGGCCCAAGGACTTATTTGTAAGTAGTTAATTGTTATTTTACATTTAGCTAGTTGAGTCAGTGTCTGGATGAAACTCAATAACTATGTGCTTCATTACAGACGCGACAACTGAAAAGTTTCCGAACACAAATCTGCGACAAATAAAGGAAATCGTTCATCGCTGGCTGGAGAACGAACG